GCAGGGCGATATGACCAAAAATATTTATTACGATATACATTCGAAAATTTCGATAACGATATAACTGACGATATAATTTACACTAGACAAAATATTAAAGCGATATAAAAATTTTACCGTGCGAATGCAAATTCCTCGCTGACAGTTTAACCAAAAGGCATTTCTAGTGGAAACTGGCCGACATATCCTCAGCATAACCATGTATAATATCCACAAAACTTAAACAGAGGTTAAACACACACAATACGGTAACATTATGTTGAAGCACAGCACGTATCACTCCGTGAGGCTCCTGCCTACGATGCCGTAACGCTCCAACAATCCATCAAGCGGTGCGGCTTCGTAGCTTAGCAAAGTCGTACTAAAACATTTAACAGATTTTTGAGCACCGTGCACATAAAATCGTTTTGAGGTCAGTAAACACAACCAGAGTTCATACATAAGGCACACGGGATTATAAGGGGCACTGTTGATTGTCAGAAAAATCAAAGGATTGATTTTAAGTGTGCCGTATTTTCCAAAAAACACGGTAATAACGACGACCCGCTAGCATGCTCTGCCAAAAATAGTGCTTTGTTGTGTATCTGACGGACGAAAGCCAAACCAGTTCCACACCAGTGAAGCTGCAGCATTTTTACAAACTAGTTCTGGTTCATCTGTTTCAATCAATGATCCGCTTTCGCCCTTCTCATTCTCTGCCGCCGCCATGCTTTTTCCACCATGTGAATATGAAAACAAAGGCACTGCGCATGCGCGTTTATAGAATAGAATAGAATTCAACTTTATTGTCATTGCACATGCACAGGTACAGGGCAACGAAATGCAGTTATCCATAGTCTATAACAATATTTCATTTTCTTATTGTTGCCCAACATTATACCGGTATTACCGTGAATGGTATGATATGGGCCAGCCCTACTTCTTACCCTCTGAGGTCTGCCACAAGGATCTGCCCTCCGTTTCTGACGTCAAAGATCTTGACGGTGCGGTCAGAAGAACAGGTGGCGAGCCGAGTCCCGTAGTAGTCCATCTGGGCATCGTGCTGAAACAGACAGAGCAAAATGTAAAAACCTGAGTGAGAACCTCCACTTCTACCTTTCAATTTAAAGAATATTTTATACATTTTCAGCAACAAGTCAAAGTCAAAAGTAAAATGAACTTAAAAATGCTCATGGTGATTGTTCTGTGATAGTTTAAACATCATCTAACTGAAAATAAAAAGGATAAATGCTGCAACAACGATTTAGTCAACAGAAAATACTTTATTCTCTTAAAAGGGATAGTTCGGATACTGAGGAGCTTTTGCACATCTTCCTTTGCTGGAGAATCAGCCTTAAATCTAAATAATGTGCTTTCTGTGGCTGTAGTCAGCAGCCAAAAGTAAACACAATAAATCAGTTTGCAAAATTAAGAGTATTTTCACAGCTGCCATCAGACTGTTCTTTCCAACAGGGAAATGAAGCCATATCTATGAATGTACTGTATTCAAAACCGGTTTTGACACAAACATTGTCGTTACCTCATTGAACATGTTGGTCTACCACTGCCCTCTTAAGTTAGTTAATGTTATTGTGTCCCTTTCATGTTTTTGAGGGGTTACTTCAGATAAACGTGTAAAACACAAAAGTCCTACAGCAGACGTACAGGTTACAGTTTATAACAAACGTACAGCTAAGTCAAGTTCAAATGTATCTGTGGCAACAGTCACAGGGTATCAGTGGCAAGTTGTTAATGATTTGTTTCTGAAATTATTATTTTAATAGCCTTTGCCAAAGATGGATCTCAGCTCAATGTGCTTTATCTTGTATGACTTAATGATCACAATCAACAGTGAAAATCACTGTTTGTGTGAATTAACACAAAACAGGTTCAGAGTGGGCTGATGATGTTCTGCTGTGTGTCGTCACCCACTGACAATCCTGGTTTTATTGTTAATTTAATCAACTCAAATGTTCTTTTATATGTAATTTAGTTTAGTAGTCTGGACTTTATGAAACATAGTGACATATAGTCATGTAAAAAAGTCAGTTTAAAAAAAACTTTAAGTAGATCTTTGAAGTAAACTTAGTACACCCTATTGTTTCTATGAAACGCTACATGTATTGTTATGTGCATTGTATATGTTAAATGCACAAGAGAGTACAACTGAACAAGTCTGGTTTGTTTGGAGAAAGCCTCGTCTCTCCCTAAAGAACATGGTAGCACTTCTGGAATAATGTTGTTTGGACAGACAAGATCAGGTGTAGAAGTCTAGTGAAAACCAAAATCAGCGTACTAGCACAAACATCTCTGACCAACTGTCAGCACAATGGTTAAGAGGTGCTGATTTGGGCTTGCTGTGCAGCCACTGTGTTAGGGAAAATATTCTAAAACACTTCTTCAGTAAAGACTCAGAGAAGAGAAACACACAGAACTTCTTGCTAGCAAGGGCAGTCTCAGTGACTCGCACTGAGAAACTGCCCTGGTCTTTATTTATACTTCAGGTGTGTGTGTGTGTGTGTGTGTGTGTGTGTGTGTGTGTGTGTGTGTGTGTGTGTGTGTCCTGCTGATCAAAGGGTCATAAAAGCACAAAAGATACATCCTTGGTCAGGAAAGGGTAGTCTCCCCTCACCCTAAATAACATGGTGAGGAAGTCCAGCAGTTCATCTATATGTAAAGAAGCACTTAAACTAAAACAGACATAGCTACGTTAATCCTGCCGTAAAACAATAAGAGAAGGTATGACCTCTCTCGTGCTCCCAGGATGTGGGTGTGCATTCTAGTGTGGAATACACACCAAGCCTTTGCAGCCTGTTAGAGATCACACACAATTAATTATATGCCTCTAAATATACATGGTTGAATATTTCCTAATACAAATAACTACATGCAGTACTCTACCATATGCAAACGTATATCACTAAAAGATTATACTGACTACTAAATACAATTTTCCATTGACACACTGGAAACCCTGCAGTTACAAGTCGACCATAAACTCCTCTGTATACCAAAGTATTCTATTTATTATTTATTTATTTATAAAGCACATTTAATAACAACAGAGAGTTGACCAAAGCGCTGCACAACGTAATAATTAAACAGTGGCATTAACAGCAACAACAGGTAAGAAAATTAAAAGAAAATTAGAATAAAAAGAATTGGTAACTCTCGTGCAGTATAAAAAGCCAAAGCGAAAATATATGTTTCAAAATGGGATTTAAAAAGATTGACAGTTGGGGCCTTTCTAATGTGGAGAGGTAGATCGTTCCACGTTTTTGGTGCCACAACCGCAAATGCCCGATCTCCTCTATGAACCATCCTAGACTTGTGTAAGGTAAGGAGTAAATGATCACTTGATCAAAGGCCTCTAGAGGACATATAAAGCTGCAAAAGGTCAGACAAATAGTCTGGTGCCTGACAATTTAGCGATTATTAAGTCAAAAGTAAGATTTTAAATTTTATTTTAATTTTGCACTGGAAGCCAATGAAGGGAAGCAAGCACCAGGGTAAAATGTTGGTGTCTCTTCACAGGAGTCAAAAGACGGCTGCAGCATTTTGTACAAGTGTCCTGCCAAACTGGACTGACTGACACCAACATAAAGTGAATTACAGTAATCCAGCTGAAATAAGGCAAACGCATGGATTGCTTGTTCCAAGTTTTTAAAAGATAAAAATAATCTCACCTTGGATATGAGCCTTAATTTAAAAAAAGGACCGCTGAACAACTGAATTAATTTGTTTCTCAAATCTAATTTTGTTATCCAAGAAAACCCCCAGATATTTTTTATTCTAGAGTCAAATGTGAAGTCATCAGTCCGACAGCTAAAACTTGACTGAAACAGGGTCATGAATTAGGACAATGATCTTAACAGAACAGTATCAGTCTCTGATGATCAGCTAGTGTGTCAGATCGCAGCAATATCAGTTTGTTACAACTGGGTTTAAGGACAATGGATAACACGTTACAGTGATAATATTTACTGACGTTTCATTGTACACATGTTTGTATCTCTAGTTATCACGCGTAAAAGCTCACTTACAGGTACTTAAAACAAGAAGGCTAACATCAGCTGTGATTAGCAGCTAGTTTCGGTTAAATGAAAAAGGGAAAAAAATGGAAAACTTACAATCATGTCCTCGTGAGAGGTGTCCACGGTGTTAATAACAGAAACCTGAAATGAGCAAACATTATATAATCACAAATACTGCACATGAATTAAAATGTTCATTGATTTTCCTGCTACTACTAGCCACTTTGCTAAGGAGCTACTTGGACTTGGGTACGTCAGCAGCTAACGGTAACCGGGAAAATGCCACAAATGTCAGCGAACAGCTTCACCGGTGGCCTAAATGCAAAGTTATCAAACTCACCATGACCGTGACTGACACAGAAACCCCGAACAACACGAGTAATCCTCCTTTTTTAAAAGAAACCGGCTTCACCGACTACTCCGACGTGGCAACAAGTAAGATAACCGCTTCCCACAGAGTCCAACTGCACTTCATACCGGCGGAAACAACAACCAGTAAACAAGTGTTCCGCATAAGCGTTTAGACGAGATCACCTTAACCTTGTTTAGAAGCTAAATATGAACACATTCTAAATAAATTAAAATCCGATCCCTCCCAGATTAGTGAAAATATTTAAAAAAGCTACATTTTCTCTTTTTGAACTGATTTTTAAACATACAAATATCTCTTTCATTAAATATGGGCAGTTTCTTGTCATAATTTTGTCTTTTTTTGTCAAGTGACTCTGTTTTTGTTTCCACTCAAACCTCACCCAAACTTCGATATAATAATAATAATTTGTTAATTATTATTATTATTATTATTATTATTATTATTATACTAATTATTATTATTATTATATTATATAATAATTATTGTTGTTGTTGTTATTGTTATTATTACGTGGTTACGTGAAGAACACAGTTAACCCAAACTGTGCTGCATGTGTGAGTTATCAATAAAGTTGAGGAGAAAAAAAATCTAAACGGCTACTGTAATTGTTGTTGAATTTGTTTATCAATAAAGTTGGGATAAAACTCCAAACGGTTAATGCTAACCGATAACCGTCGGCATTTTTTTCGGCAAATTAGCGTAAAAATAAGACTTGAAACTCGGTTTATCGGCACATTACCGCCTCCGTATGGCCGGTTGGACTCCGTGTGTCCACACGGCGGCGCCACAAAGCTGAACCACTTTCCCTTGCCGTCTATTTTTGGCCGGGCACGCCGAGTGTCGGGTTCCATCAGGCCGTCAGCTCTCCTCTCTGCCCCCCCTAGCCTCGCCATGTTGTCGGCTTAAATCTGGTGGCCAGTTTTCTGAGTTTACCGTTGGAAAAAACTTTTTCTCAGCCTGAGTGACAGCCTAAACAGTGGAAAGATGTCGAGTGTGTCCTACCACATCTCCAACCTGTTGGAGAAAATGACCTCCACTGACAAAGACTTCAGGTAAGAAACAGTGAGCAGCTCTCACAGTGAGATGACACTTTTTTAAAACCCCGACTTGTGTGTGCCATTTTACCACAGAGGAGACAATAGTGCCCTCTATACAGTCTTAATTACTTTTATTTAATCGACACATCATTTATTAGTTTTTTCTACCTGAAAACAAAAAATAGATGTAACAATTTTACCTAACCAAGGTTACGTTTTCATAAAAAACTCCAAATATTATATTAATATTATTGACTAATTTAATCATTATCAAAATATGTTTGTAAATATCTGGTCGGCTGTGATTTTTTTAAAGTACTCAATTACAGAAATTGGAAGTAGGGATTTTTTGCTAACATGATAAATTCATGATCTAAATTGTTTTATATTTTGATAAAGTGAGTCGTTGTTGTGCAGGTAGATAGCAGTAGGTTCAAGAATGTTGGAGATTTTTGTTATTTTATTTTGTCTTAAAAACCTTTTAATACATTGCAAAATATCTTTGGAGATGTTTAACACTGGAGAACACATATTGGGTTTACTGCCATGTATGACCAAGAAAAGTATATTCTGCAACAGTTTTACATGTTTTGATAACTCTTTGAGTGTTATAAACACATCTATAAGCCAGCAACAACACAAGTATAGATTTGAATTACTTAATAATACCAACCTCTACCTCTCTCTTTGTTGTCATTGAATTGATGAGCTAAATATTTATTGGACAAGTAATGTGCACATCTTTACTGAAAGACCACAATTGTAACAGAAGTGTCGAAAAAGCATCTAATTAAAGAATAAATAGACATCTTAACAAATCTAGACACTTAATTCATTATTTGACCCTTTTTTGAGGCAGTAATGAAAAGAAGGATTACTGAAAGGATTCACAGATCAGTTTATTAACTTTGGTCTCTATGTGTGTGTGTGTGTGTGTGTGTGTGTGTGTGTGCATGTGTGTGTGTGTGTGCAGGTTCATGGCCACCAATGACCTGATGCTGGAGCTGCAGAAGGACAGCATTAAGCTGGACGAGGACAGCGAGAGAAGAGTTGTGACCATGCTGCTCAAACTGCTGGAAGACAAGAATGGGGAGGTGCAGAACCTGGCTGTGAAATGGTAAAAATCTCACTCGTACGCACAGTGTGAACCGGTGCCAGAAGTCAGTGTCCTGGTGTGTTTTCTTTCCTTAACTCCACAGTCTGGTCAGGGGTCAAAGGTTAGCTTCAACCACGGGCCCTTTAGTTCATGTAAACTGTATTTTATTTATCCAGATTTATTTTTGGATTCCTAGAAAGGTGCTCTTTGTAACTATCCTCTGTGGAAGGGTTAACTAGGTTTAACCACCAGAGGGCTGCATTATCCCCAACCCTTGAGTTATAGACTATTTGAAGTTTTACTGTATCATCTACTCCCATTTACTCGAAAGTCTGTTTCTGGAAACTTTTGTCTTTTGAATAAATGTAATGGAAAGTGACAGCATTATATCAGAGTTCAGCGGGGAGCCTCCCACTGTTACCAAAGTGCTTGCTCATAGGGGGTCATATGATTGTTGGGTTTTTCTCTGTATGTATTATTGTAGGGTCTACCTTACACTATAAAGCACCTTGAGGTGACTGTTGTTGAGATTTGGCGCTATATAAATAAAACAGAATTGACCTGAATTGAATTAAATAAGGATAAGAGTGTTAATATGTCTGTGAAGGTTTTCAGTCATCCAGGTCACCGTAGTCACAGGAGCTTGGAAAGAAAAGCGTCTGGACTTGTTTAAGTTGCTTGAAGACGTTTCACCTTCATCCGAGAAGCTTCTTCAGTTCTAAGGTCAAATGGTGGAGAGTCCCAGATATAAACCTAGTGGGAGTTTCCCCCCAAAGAGGGATAAAGGACCCCCTGACGAGCCTCTACCTAATCACATGAGCCAAGGTGTGAAAGCGGGTGTAGGTCCCAATCAGCCAGGGTTTCGGGTGAGCTCATTCTGAAACCTGGCCCCACCCTATCATGTGATTTCCTGAGGTCAGATGGCCCACTTCCTCCATGTAAAGGTTGTCTACAAAAGGTGACACGGGGGAGCCCATGGCGCAGCCATGTTTTTGTCTGTAGAAACCCTCGTTATATTTGAAATATGTAGTGGTGAGGCAGAGGTCTAACAGTGTGCAAATGTGATCGGGTGTGAAGTTGGTCCTGTCTTCCAAGGAGCTGTCTTCTTGTAGTCGTTTTCTGACAGTCTCCACTGCCTCCGTGGTGGGTATGCAAGTGAAGAGGGAGACTACATCAAAGGACACCATGGTTTCATCTGGGTCCAGGGTAAGTTTCTGGACCTTGTCGGTGAAGTCGGTGGAGTTCTTGATGTGATGTGGGGTGTTCCCCACAAGAGGTGCTAGGACAGTAGCAAGGTGTTTCGAGATGTTGTAAGTGGCTGAGTTTATGCTACTGACAATGGGTCTGAGTGGGACACCTTCCTTTTGGATCTTAGGAAGTCCGTAAATGCAGGGTATGGCATCCCCTGGGTAAAGGCGGTGATATGTAAGGCGGTCAATGATTTTGTCCCTTTCAAGGTCTTGAAGGCAAGCTATAAGAGTGTTAATGCACTAAAATGAGAGTGGTACCTTCATTTCTGCTGGACTTAAAGTATTGATGGTGTCTGTGTAGCAGGCTGTGTGTTAGATAGCCACCTTTTTGTTTTTGCAAAGTGCTTGGTTAGATACTACAGGTCATATTTCTATCACATAATTATTTAAACAAATAGTGGTTTGAAACAAAATTATGACATTTTTTAACTTGGTGTGTTTGTTTTTAAGCCTGGCGCCTCTGGTGAGCAAAGTGAAGGAGCCCCAGGTGGAGACGATGGTGGACGTGCTGTGTTCAAACATGACGTCGGACAAAGAGCAGCTGAGGGACATTTCCAGCATGGGACTGAAGACCGTGATCGCAGAGCTGCCACTCACATCCTCAGGTGAGCGCTCACTGTCCTCCCACCTGTCTCCTCGTCGTGATGATCAGCTTTTAATGGTGGATTTCCATCTCATGTTAAAGGGGCAACTTTGAGAGTATGAAGAGCATCAATAATACATGGCATAGAAGCAAAGCTTACATTGTAGACAGTCATTCATATTTTACTTTAATAAGTTTGTAATTTTCCTGGGACTGCATGTAAAAGTGTCTGAAATTACCTACACAGCTACAACACGCCATATTTGTGTTTTCACCAAATAATAACCAATAATTGTAAATTGTCACTTTTTCACCATTAATTTTTGCACACTCTCGCTGCCATCTGGGCTTAATTGTCACAATTATTCAGCAACTACAGTCCTTAATGTGAGCTGAAATCAGGATGTCTGATCATTTGAAGGCAGTGAAAGCTCAAAGTTGTTTAAACATCCTTGTTTTGGGTTGGATCCACAGGTTTGACTCTGACAGGCAGCGTGTGTAAGAAGATTACCTCCCAGCTGATTGGTGCCATGGGGAAACACGATGATGTGTCTGTGCAGTTAGAGGCCCTGGACATCCTGTCGGACATGTTGGGAAGGTAACAACAAGATCTCGGTCCAAACGTGATGACTGTCCCACATTAGAAAAGTACCAGCTCAAACACACACACACACACACACACACACACACACACACACACACACACACGGTACACGTTGCTGAACTTTTAAGCTTTTCACTGTTTGCTTTCTTTCCACAGGCTGAGTGGTGCACTGGTCAGTTTCCACAGCTCTCTGCTCTCCAGCCTTCTGCCTCAGGTGAGAAACACTCAGCCGCTCAAATGTAAACTGTGGTTTTACAGTGTAGTGCTACCATGACAACCCAAAAAATCACTGTCATCTGTTTTTAGACATAATTATTAGTATACTTAAGATAACAGGATATTTTTCATATTATTATAAGAAACCCGTTTTTATAAGAATCGTGCACATCACTTTCTCTCATTTCACGTTGCTTTCAGTATATTTACTGTATGCTTTAACAGCTTTATGATGACTTTCATTCATTTTGTTGTACAGTTTATTTGATTGTATTTTTACTCATTTGTCCCTTTATCTGCTCGTTAATGTTTCTTCATTCATTCGTCATTTGGATGCTGCAGTTAACCAGCCCCAGAATGGCGGTCAGGAAGCGCTCCATCTTAGCTCTCGGTCACCTGGTGCCCTGCTGCAGCCCTGCCCTCTTCTCCCAGCTGACAGAACACCTGATGAAAGAGCTGGCCAAGGGTCCGCCCACATCAATGACAAGAACATACATCCAGTGCCTGGCAACCATTAGTCGTCAGGGCGGCCATCGAGTCGGTGAGCTGATGCTGTGTTTATGCCGCCTTCAGTGCTGAATGGGGAAACAAACTAGTACGACAGTGACTGGTCTTCTGAAAGGTTTCAGATGTTGATAGTCCAGCGCTCCTGTATTCTGACTGTTTTTTATAGAATACATCTTCTTAGTTTCAATAATGTAGCAAATGTTTGGTCCACACTCAGACATGTAAATGTCTTTCAGATGATCTAGAATTCAATTTAGCACTGATAGCTAAGATGATGACTTTCCTCCAACTTTCCCTGTAGGGGGAAGTCGGCTCTTGGCCCTTCATCTGGTGCCCTTGCACTGTATGAAGCCCCCACATGGCTGCAGACTCGTGGATCTTTTTAAACTTTGGTTCTTCATGCATTTTTTGTGTCATTTAGTGAAGAAAAACATCTAAAGTGTAGATTCTTTTCCCATTCTTTGTGGTTTGTAGGTGAACATTTAGAGAAGTTGATCCCAATGGTGGTAAAGTTCACCGGAGTAGAAGATGATGAGCTGAGAGAGTATTGTTTCCAGGCCTTTGAAGCTTTTATACGCAGGTACACACAAAGTCATGTTTCCATCACTTTAGGGGACAATATTTTCACGCTGATTTCCCACAGAGTTACACTGACTATAACCAGAAGCTCTACAGACCTAACCCTGTTCTAATTGTTACCTTGAAGCAAGTCTTTATACACATTCACTATAGCAGTGTTTCCCAAACTTTTTTTGCTAAGCCCCCCTTTGCTTTACAAGAAAAATGCCCCCCCACCCCCCTTCTCACGCACAAACACATCCTCCAACCACACACACCCATATTTTGCTCCCTTTCACACCTCAAACATTTAGTAAACAATTAAGGAAATACAAGTAAACTGCAATAAATTACAGGTAGTAATAAAATAAGCTACTAACTCTTTTACGCTACATCCACACCTACACGGGTATTTTTGAACACGCAGCTGTTTCGTCCACACGTAAACGGCGTTTGGAATCACCTAAAACTGAGATTTTTTAAAACTCCTTTTTTGCGTTTACGTGTGGACGAGGAATACAGAGTTCGTCACGCAACGTCAAAGGTATGTGCCTTTTTTCACATCACGCTGTGCGCCACGTTATTGTTTACATGAGATGAATTACAGAATGGCAGATAGAGACAAAATACTGTTAATCTGACTGTCTGCACTTTTTACACACTTACATACACACACGCAGTTACTGTCTCTGTATTTAGAAAGGCAGAGGCGTCACCGTGTGATTATTTTACGTGTAGTTGTTTTTTTTTCCTGTGTAATAATATTCAACATTGCTATCAATACATTTTTCAAAAAATGCCTCTCTGTGCAAAATGGATTTAAAAGCATAAACAGCTGTGGGATACTGTTAGTCCGTGATTTGAAGAGCCCAGTGCTGCTCCCGACGCAGGGAAAACCAACCCTGCAGGGAGACCTACCTCGCCACTTGTGCAGGTGAAGCCAAAGAGCAGATATGCTTCATCATATTTTCAAGTCTTTGGCTTAGAATGAAGTTGGTTTGGAAACATATTCAGCGATGCTTCATCTCCTGCTTTGCGTTTGTGGAGGCGCCCCGTGCTAGCAGTGTCCAAGCGTTTTGTTTTTTTCCCCCCCTTTTCATACGCCCCCCCCTCCCCCTGTAATGGCTCTGCACCCCCGCCTAGGGGGGCGGGCCCCACACTTTGGGAAGGTCTGCACTATTGGGACCTCTGTTCAGTCCATGTTGTAAACAGGTCATTGTCCCCTCAGCATGACCCACAGGCGTACATACCCACACTCCGTGTCCTTACTGTGGCTCTTTCTGTTACTTCCTGATTGGCAGGTGTCCAAAGGAGATGTCGCCTCACATTGCCACAGTGACTCAGCTTTGTCTTAAGTATATGACCTTTGACCCCAACTACAACTATGATGACAACGAGGAGGAGGATGAAGATAGAATGGACATAGATGATGAGCTTGAGGAAGGTGTGTGAGATCTGTGTGTCTGTGAATAGAAATTTAGCAGAAAAACTATTAACAGGAAGCAAATAACAGGAACATACAGAACATGATGGTAATCAATCATCATGTTTTAGGTGTCTAGTTTTGAATTAATCCAGCGATTACGATCTGTACATCCATGGTTACATTCCAAATGGCCAAATGATAACTGATCATTTGTCCGTTTTCAGTGGCGTGAAAATGTGAACAAATGAGAGCTCAGAGAGAACAACAGTCCTTACCTGCAGCTGACACCACAGCAGGACAACCTTTATTCTTTAATGCTGTTTTCTTGGTTCCCAAATAGGCCTCTATGTTGGTGTTTACATTTTCATATGTATTTTAAAACATAAATATCAGTCTTTAAAGCAGGTCTTTATAACTGACATTGAAGCATGAAATGTTCGTATGAACACAGACTACATTAAAAACACTGAAGTTAAAGACATTTAGGCTGCATATGGATGATTTTTGTACCTGTATTCTTTAAGTGAGTTTATCTGATTTAGAAAGAAGTTATTTAACTTTTCAACAAAAGCGGTTGTTTTTGTTCAGATTGAGTCTGTCGATTCTTAAAACTATTACAAACTTCACACAACAAAATGTGAGGTCTTTTGAGTTTTGCTGTCTTCCATCCGTCACCTGTATGAAGCAAATCGAGTTTATTCTCGTTTCACGACTTCACTCAGAGTCAGACGACGAGTACAGTGATGACGATGACATGAGCTGGAAGGTGCGGCGCTCTTCCATCAAGTGTCTGGAGGCGTTGATCAGCACGCGTCTGGACCTCCTGCTCTCCTTCTACTCCTCCATCTGCCCCGCTCTGCTGGCACGATTCAAGGAGCGCGAGGAGAACGTCAGGGCCGACGTCTTCACTGCTTTTTCAACGTTGCTGAGACAAACACGGGTGGCATCGAGTCGCCACAGCCTCATCGTGTCTGGTTCAGATCCCGGGGTGAGAAGAGAGGAGGAGCCGGCAGTCGCCTTGCTGAAAAAACAGGTGCTGAGAAGTTTTTGGATGGAGTATATTTGAGTTTCACAAGTAGAGCTGAAAAGTAGTTAAATTTAAATTACATTTTTAAAGGTGTCATTGACTTACCTAAAATTCAAAGATGTTTGGTATTTAAATGTAAAAGGCAGGCTACAGAGTCGAGACTACCTAACAGTCCAGGCAAATCAGCTGATCTTTGCTCATTTCTAGCATCATCTTTTTATTCTTGGACTCCATCAGAGTAGCTCTCTATGATTTACAATTCCAAATGCCTGCATGCTTATCCCATATATGAGCCTAAACAGACCCTTCACTTTCTGTCTGAAAAACCTGCTTGAGCTTCTTCGCCTTTAAACAAACGTGTCCATATCTAAGATGTTGCAGTCTTCCAGTTCTGCTGAGCGTCTCGTAAATATGAATTGCAGAAATAATTTGTGTGTCCAGGTGCCGGCGACTGTAAAGGCCCTCCACAGACAGCTGAAGGAGAAGAGCATCAAATCCCGACAGGGTTGCTTCTGTCTCCTCACTGAGCTGGCTCACACTGTACCGGGAGCCCTGGAAGAGCATATACCTGCCCTGATACCTGGTAGGCACACACCTACACACACACACACACAACCCCGTTCAACTATCTTAGTGAGGTCCTTCAGTGACATAATGCTTTCCCTAGCCCCTTACCCTAACCATTAAAAATGATTGCCTAACCCTTACCCTAAACCTAACCATAACCTAATTGTAACCCAGACACTAAAACCACATTTTGAGCCCCAAAAATGCCTTTAAATGCCTTCAAATTTGTGAGGACCGGGTTGTGTGTCCTCACAAGTGACTGTTGGTTCTCACAAGTATAGTAGAATGCAGATTTCGGTCCTCACAAAGATAGCTAGACAGGAACACACACACACACATGCATTACAAATTAATTCTTAACCGTCAAACTGGTCAGAAACTTTCACTCTCTTTTCAGCAAAGTCACATAGACTTTAAGGGAGATCTTTAAGATCTTTAAAATCTAAAACTCACACATTTCCTACAACCGGCTGTTCCTAAGTCTCCCAGTAGCTTTTCTCTTTCACTTCAGCTGCTGTATTTTTGCTCCTTACTCCCACTCTTTCTTTCTTTCTTTCTGTTCCTGTCCCCTCCTTCCTGCAGGCATCGTCTTCTCCCTGACAGACAAATCCACCCTGTCCACCATGAGGATCGATGCGCTCTCCTTCTTCAACGTCCTGCTCCTCTCCCACCCTCCTCAGGCCTTTCAGCCACACATGCAGGTTTCAAAAACTTCTTTTAAGGCTTTGTCTTGAAACCTGTAAACTGTCTCTCATAATGACTCGGGGGATCTGCAGCTTTAAAAAGTTGAATCACTAAATTTTTCAACAATAATGAGAATGTAAAGACTAACTTGTGCTGTGACCCCTGCAGGTGCTGCTGCCCCCAGTGATTGCATGCATTGAGGACACGTTCTATAAAATCACCTCAGAGGCTCTGCTGGTCATCCAGCACCTGGTCAAAGTGATGAGACCGCAGGGACAAGCAGGAGGATTTGACCCTAAACTGTTCGTTAAAGAGGTGAAATGGCTCAGGACTGTTTTGCTTTCTGGTCTGAGGCGGTTTAATTTAATTGTGCTCCATAGCACCCTGTCTATTTATCATTTTTAATGTGTTGTGGGAGCAAAGAATTAATGAAAAACGACTGTGAATGGCAGGTTAAATACTGTGATTTGTCTAAGGAAAATGAACAAACATGACTTTGCCGGTGCTTTCCTGCTTGCCTGAATCAAAGTATTTCTACAGAATTATAGATTTTAAAAACATCTGAAACAAACTGTGATCAAAAGGTTCTGTGACTGCTCCCTCTTCATGGTCTCTGACATCGCTGGTTCATACTTTGGCACCAGGAATTTTGTGCTGCTGTGCTGGTGCCTTCACAAGGCTTTCCTGATGTGTGGAACAGGTTCTACCTTTTCTTTATAATTTTAATTTATTTATTTTTCCCAAAGGTGTTTTCTGTAACGATGAAGCGGCTCAAAGCAACAGACATCGACCAGGAAGTAAAAGAACGAGCGATTTCCTGTATGGGTCACATTGTTTGTCACCTTGGTGACCACCTGAGGGCAGAAGTTCAGGCAGTCTTGGCGATCTTTCTGGAGAGATTAAAGAATGAGATCACAAGACTAACAGCAGTTAGGACCATCACCCTCATCGCTGCCTCTCCGTTAAAGGTTTATTATGACTTTCGTTTTGTTTTTTTAATTTAATGAACACATTATTTAATTTGAAAGATTTTAGTAACTTCCTGTCCTTTTCTACAGATCGACATGTCACCCATCCTGCCAGAAGCGCTCTCTGTGCTGGGATCTTTCTTGAGGAAGAATCAGCGGGCGTTGAAGCTCGGGACGCTGGCGTGTCTGACGGCGCTGGTCACTCATCACGCTGCCAGCATTAAACCTGCAGCCCTGGAGCCCGTGCTGAGCGAACTTCCTACTCTGGTGGATGAGAGTGACATGCATGTTTCACAGGTACAGGCACTGAACCGAACATGCACATGAATCAGGTCAAGAATTAAATCTATAGAATATAATTTTTTTTCATAAATGAATCAACGTGCATGTGCATGACATTTGAACTTAGACAGATAGTGACAGGAAGTTTTACTTTTTGAGATTGCCTTTTAGAAAGCAGTAATGTGCCTATTTTATGTCGTATTATGGTAAAAAATGTGTAATTGCAGATGTTTGGAGGTGGTTCTTTTTGTTCCATCATATAGTTCACACCCAGAAAAACATACATTTAGGAAGTGGGTTAAGGAATATCAAACATAAAGTTTAGGGCTCAGATTACATGTGTTGGTGGAAAGCGGGGATCTTATTCTGCTCATTTTGATTTTTATTTAGATTTTTTCTCCTTGTTCTCTGTTAGCGTAGCTGCGTGACTCAAAAGTTCACAGGCCGCTGAGTCAGCTTTCCTTAAAACAGGATGTTGCCTGCAGACATTGTTGGACACATGAAACATGTTGTGGTTGAATCTACCTGTAGTTTGCCTCTGTTTAGGTGTCCATCACCTTGCTGACCGGTATGGCCAAAGCCTACCCCTCGACTCTGGCTAAGATCAGCTCGTCTGTTCTGCCGGGAGTCTTCAGACTCATCCATTCACCGCTCCTGCAGGGTAGCACTCTGGAAGCAATACTCGAGTACTTGCAAGCACTGGTGCTGTCCAAAACCAGTAATCTGAGCTACAGGTGAGATAGGATGTGGTTGTGAATCTCTTTGGGTCATTTATCCTAATAACACTGGACAGATCAACAGTTTTGGAGTGGGAAAGCTGTTTAGTGCTGAGGATTATTGCTAATGGCTTATTTATAATGTTTTCGTTAAACTATAATGAATTTTAATCACTGATATGAATCAAATGTTTTTAAATAGTTGTTGGAAAGCCTCTAATTTAGCCCACATTTTTAAAAGAGCAGCAGTGCATCATTCCAGTGTTTCCCTCAGGCATGTAAACAGTAGTTATCTCATCAAATGCCATGAAAACCTTCCAAAAGCCACAGTTCAAATGTGTTTAAGTGATTAGAAGTCATTATTTTATATTATTAGACAGCAAGAATATGAAACAGCGGATTGAAACACCATCAGATTCCCAGGAGTCCACATTAAATCACATCCCCTGGGTGTAGACGTCAGTGTGAGTCACAGCTGAGTCAGGTCTGCTTTGTTATCTCCAAGAAATGAATATTCATGTAATTACCATCTGCAGGGGAACTCCAAAGTTTTTACAGATAAATATCAGTTCAGTATTCGGAGGGAGGAATACTCAGTCTGTTGTGTAATGTCTGCTCTGGCTCTGGAGAAGTTTGTCTGGTCTGAGAAAATAAGCCTGAGTCAGTTTGTTCTGTGTTGACTTTGAGATAATTAAACCAAACCAGGAGAATGACACAACCTGATAACATCTTCTATTTAAAGTGGCAGTAAAGCAAGTCTTTCCCCTGAAGGTTTGTCAGATAAGAGTCAGACTCTGCACTCACAAGCTGCTAAAGTCTTGTTTAAAACATGTTAATCATGACCACAAGTGACCTGGTTAGCCTCAACTAACCCAACATTGCATCAGCAAGTCATGCTGATGTTCCTGTACTGCTGATTAACATATGAGCAAGATGTATAGTGTGTCTTCCTCCGACTGTGTGTATATTTCAGTCCATGTGACCTTCATCAGATTAATTATATTCTATCATTTGTGTACATACTGTCCATATACCTGAAAATGCTTTTTGTTCAGGCAAAGCTTGATCTTGGATCCAGACCAGACGTACATTCAGTTGGGGTGAAATGCCTCAGTCACTGCAGTACACTTATTTTCGTGTATGATATATTTTTTACAGAATAATATAATAATGGTCAGTGCAAATGCTTGGTTGGATTCTACTCTGACAGATCTACGTTTTCCGTCTGCACTCTTCCTGTTTGCTCAAGATTTTTTATTTCTATCTGTAATTTTTCTTAAAGATCTTTAATTATATTGTTTGATATGAATCAGAACATTTTTCCCAGCACCTTTTTTAAACTATAACTGGAAGATTTAACCAGATCAGTCCATTTAGTGTTAGTAACATATCAACACAAATACTACACCCGGGATTATAATCCTCTCCTCTCCTCTCCTCTCCTCTCCTCTCCTCTCCTCTCCTCTCCTCTCCTCTCCTCTCCTCTCCTCTTCTCTTCCTCTCCTCTCCTCTCCTCTCCTCTCTCTCTCTCCTCTCTTCTCTCTCTCTCAGTCAGTTGCTGAAGTCTCTCATGGAGCCGTTTCACAGATCTCAGTCTTCTGCAGATGGCAGCATCGTCCATAGGCAGTCCTACCACTCAGTCGCTCGTTGTGTGGCTGCTCTGTCCTCTGCTTCTCCCAAAGAGACTCCTGGCACTGTGGCCGGCTTCATACAGCAGGTGTGAGAGTCTGGCATTTGTGCTCTGCTTTAGCTTCAATGGAGGTTTCCTCTAAGAATGTGACACAAACAGACATGAGATATAAATTTGTTAGACAAATTTCGTGTTTGTTTGTTTTATAAAATTTGATCTGAAACTGTCCTCTTAGAAGCCACCTTTGTTTTCTTTGCTGTTATTACTTTAACACTTACCTCATTGAAATTCTGCCCTCTCCTCTCCTCAGGTGAAGAATCCCGGCTCTCCAGAGGCTGCTCGTGTCCTCGCCCTGTTGTGTCTGGGGGAGGTGGGGAGGAAGGGCAGTCTGGGAGGAAGTAAGGAGGTGCAGGGAGTCATCTTGGAGGCTTTCTCTTCCACCAGTGAAGAGGTAGGACACACTCATCCATCCATCCATCCATCTTCATCCGCTTTATCCGGGGCCGGGTCGCGGGGGCAGCAGCCTAAGCAAAGAGGCCCAGACCTCCCTCTCCCCAGCCACCTCCTCCAGCTTATCCGGGGGAATACCAAGGCGTTCCCAGGCCAGCCGAGAGATATAATCTCTCCAGCGTGTCCTGGGTCTGCCCCGGGGCCTCCTCCCGGTGGGACATGCCTGGAACACCTCACCCAGGAGGCGCCCAGGGGGCATCCTTGTCAGATGCCCGAACCACCTCAGCTGGCTCCTTTCGATGTGGAGCAGCAGCTGCTCTACTCTGAGCCCCTCCCGGATGGCCGAACTTCTCACCCTATCTCTAAGGGAGAGGCCAGCCACCCTTCGGAGGAAGCTCATTTCTGCCGCTTGTATCCGCGATCTCGCTGATACAACCATACTATCCACATCTGAATATTTAAATTTTTCATTCACAATGAATAAATTTATCTTTTAGTTAAAAGAAGAGCTTCTCCAAATCCGATTGTTTATTTTCCACAAAGGAAAACTGATTGTTTCCCCCACATCACAGTTACGTTTCCTTGATATTGAAACCTAATTAGTCAAAAAGTCCTTTTTGTTTTTTACCCTTTTACTGCTTTGATATCAGTGCCAGTTGTTTGTTTTACTACTTATTAGGTAAGTGCTTCTTCAGTGTCTGATAGTTAATTCACAACGGCCAGAAACATTAGGAGGTGTGAAAACAGAGCTTAAAGAAGATTTAGAGATCTGATCCTTCAGAATGAGATGTTGCTTTAGCTCTGTGGAGCAAACTGTGTGGAGAGTAGAGTGGGTTAGTTCAGTCGATGAATTAATGCGACAAAGGTTAAATAAGGTCAGACAGCCGACTGTGTGGACATCTTGTTTGTGATTTCAGGTGAAGACGGCAGCCTCCTGCGCTTTAGGCAGCATGGCCGTCGGCTGCCTGAGCGATTACCTGCCCTTCCTCCTGAAGGAGATCTCAGCCCAGCCACGGAGACAGTACCTGCTCCTTCACTCCCTCAAAGAAGTCATCAGGTGTGTGTTCTGTTGAATGTTTGGCTAAATGTGTGTGTGTGCATTTAATTCACCATAATCTGTTGTTTTTCTCTGAAGCAGGTGATCATTGAAAAGCATCATTTATGAGTTCACTGCAGTTTAAGTGTGAATTTTGCAGCTTAATATTTAAGCTGATAAAAATGATAGATTTTGCCAAAAAACTTTGCAAAGCTTTGCAACAAAATTTGCATGACATATGTTGAATAAAATGAGTTTAAAGTTTTCTTAAAGTTTCCTTCCTCCTCTCTCTCTTTGTTCAGTGTCTGCCCAGCCTCCAGTCTCTCGCCCCATGTAGAGTCTGTGTGGGCCTTGCTGTTTCAGAACTGCGAGTGTCAGGAGGAGGGCACCAGGAACCTGGTGGCTGAATGTTTGGGAAAACTCACTTTAGTCAATCCGGCAGCACTTCTGCCTCGACTTAAACAACAACTTAAAACTGGTAGGATGATATTTAAGAACTGTTTTATATTTTTGTTTTTTATGTCAGATGCAACAAATAATACAGAATTAACATCTTCATGGTCAATCTCTGTTTCTGTACATGGTCTTGACATTTTGTATTAATATGGCTTCAATATGAATGAGAAAAAAATATAATCTTTATTTTTGTTACATTGTCTCCACAGGTTCTCCTTTAGCTCGCAGCACCGTGGTAACAGCCATCAAGTTCACTATTGTTGACCACCCGGCACCTATAGATTCACTGCTGAAAGACTGCATAGGTAAATGTTTGCATCCCATGTTACATCATTACTCTTCATCTTTTTACATTAACACAGAACGTAAAGTGGGAACATTTTTCTAAAATTCAGTTTCATGGTGAAACATTAATGGCTCACATATGCAGATTTGCAGAGGTAGCCGAGCAATTCTGGTGTTTCCCTTTGGAAAAGGCTGTGTGAAAGCAAGTTAGAGCAATGAAAAAATTCTAAACCTAAAACTTTAATTGCTGACCTGGTCCAACGGGTAGACTGGAACACTTGTAGATAGTGATGGTGCGATGAAGCTCCATGAATGTGTCGAATCTTTCCGAACAATTGCTCATTTTGAAGTAATGACATCTACTGTTCATTCGATGTACAGCAGCCCAGCTGTGATAATACATGTGGGGTGCATACCAGCGGATATCAGGTTCTGTATTTTATTTTTGCTATACACACAGACACCTCTAACCAACCATCCTCTCTGAGATTGATTTGAGAAGATGTGTGTCATTATTAGGCGATATCATGTCTAAATGCTCCCTAACTGCGGATATTTTTCACCTTGTTGGCTCCATAATGTTCTTATAATCTCCTTGCAAGCTTGTGATGATCCTCAGAGTCACGTCAGATCCAGTTCACACAGAAAATTAAAATTCCTGCATCTTTTCAACAGCTCGAGGCACATCACGAAGCAGTGATCTCATGTCAGAGAAACAAGCCTCATTTTGTCATTGCTGTCAGATGTAACATCACTCATTGTAGATGTATGCTCTCCCTTTCAATTCCTGAAGAATCACACTGCATTGAAATACAGGCTTGTAGTACCATTACACATAGTATAACATGTCTCATAATCAGATTGACTCGCCTTTCAAGCAGAATCAGAATACTTTATTAATCCCTGAGGAAATTGTGTGGTTACAGTGTCCCCAAGACAATAAGAACAGCATAGAATAAGTTGTTCCTCAGCCTGCTGTCCCAGCATGCAACGGCATAGAGGATGGCGCTGGCCACTCTGGTAGAGTGTAGTGGTGTTTTTAACCCAGTCCAGCTTATTATCAACGTTTATTCTGAGGTATTTATAGTCCTCCACTTTGTCCTCCTGGATTGAAACAGGTTTCCTGATCCCCATAAAGTCCACAATCAATTCTTTGGTTTTTGTCACGTTGAGCTGCAGAGGATTCTGCACAATTGAGCAGGTAGATGAATGGAGTCCTCTGCTCCGACGCAGGGCTGGTAAGCGAAATGAAGGGGATCCTGATGTGGCCTGACTGTAGCTCATAGCAGGTCAAGGATGAGACTTTCCAAGGGTCTGTAGTCCTGGGGGCCACTGGGACAGATGTCTTCCACAGCACCAGGACTGTCTGCAAACTCAAACTCATCAGGAACAGTTTATACACAGGCCTTGAGAACACGAGGACTCACCCTGTCTGGTCCAGCAGACTTGCCTGAGTGGAGTCTTCTCATTTGTCTCAAACCTGTGTGGCCATTATAGGAACTGCAGTTTTCCCCCTTCTTTGTTGGTAGCATTTTTCAGCCCCACAGATTGATGCTTGGATGTGTTGACAGATAAGTGATACACTGACTACAGATAAGTTCCTCATATGATCCCACTTAAAAACCAAAACAAATGTTCATTTAATCTTAAATATAAACTGAAGTCTAATGCTGACTCAAATATAAAAACCCAGATGAGGCTCTGAAAAATAAAAAGCTGTGATGTCATCTCTGTGTGACAGGTGACTTCCTGAAGACCCTGCAGGATGAGGACATCAATGTGCGACGTATCGCCTTGGTAATGTTTAACTCAGCAGCTCATAACAAACCGTCTCTGATCCGCGGTCTCCTGGGAAGAGTGCTGCCTCACCTCTACAAGGAGACCCAGATCAGGAAGGACCTCATCAGAGAAGTGAGTTAGCTGATTTAGAAGCAGCAGGCGTTTCTGTTCGTGCTCTGTGCAGACGTTTTACTGTTTGTGTGCTGCAGGTGGAGATGGGTCCGTTCAAGCACACTGTTGATGATGGGTTGGATGTGCGTAAAGCTGCATTTGAGTGTATGTACAGTCTTCTGGACAGCTGCCTGGAGGGGCTGGACATCCTGCAGTTCCTGGATCATGTAGAGGAAGGACTCAAAGACCACTATGATATCAGAGTGGGTGGAAAAATAGTTAAAGTAAAAATGATCCACCTCTTTACCTTCTGTCCTGTGGAATGATTTCTGGGGTGTTCAGTAGCACCAGCAATCAGAAAATAATGATTTATTTTTGATCATTTTCTCCTTGTTTTTAATATCACTGTGCAGATGTTGACCTTCCTGATGCTGGCCAGACTGGTTTCTCTGTGTCCTGCTGCTGTTCTCCAGAGACTGGACAGGCTGGTGGAACCGCTTAAAGCGACCGTCACCACCAAAGTACTCAAAACAGACACACAGTCATAGAAATCAACACTTCATTAAAACATTATGATTCAGAAAATTAAAAAAAACTGCATGGATTGGAGTTGATGGTCTCTTAAACACAACTTACCAGAAATTATTTATAAAAACCGCATCCTTACTCTCTACGAACCTTTTTTTATAGTTTAAAGGTAAAATACACAGAGATCTTTACAAACCTGGAGTTGTAACCTTGAGTTTCCCTCTGCCTTGAAATGAAGTCTCCGTCTCCTTCCTCCACCTGCAGGTGAAGGCCGGTTCTGTGAAGCAGGAGTTTGAAAAGCAGGAGGAGCTGCGGCGCTCGGCCATGCGTGCTGTCGCCGCCCTGCTGGCTGTGCCTGAGGTGGAAAGAAGCCCCAGCATGGCCGAATTTGCCAATCAAATCAAAACCAGCACTGACATGGCGTCTATCTACCAGAGCATCAAGGGAGGGGAGGGTGGGGGTATAGGAGCCACAGAGAGCATGGATATGAGCTAGAAACATGCTGGAGATGTTCATGAGAATGTTTTTATCGATGAGCTTTAGGCACAGCACATTAAACTGATCTGTGTTTGTACAGTGTCAGGTTTCATTTTCAGTTATTTTGTTCTTCATATTTTGTTCCTTCCAGCAGGAGTTCGGTTTAAATTAGTTCACATGAATTAAAGTTGTAGCAGCAGCCTCCTGGGTCTTTCAGGTTTTCTCATGGATTTGTTCAGGATCTAAAAAAACATACATTTGGTTTTATGCTATATGAAAATGGGACATCACAAAACCACAGCAGACATCTGTGTTTCACTCACGAAGGAAATTTGTTCACTGAGTGTGACGTGCTTTTCAGTCAGCTGTCTGTGTGAAGTGCAGACTTTTCCCTAGTTTTGTAAGATTTATAAATAAATTGGTATATTAAAGTAAAACTGAGCATGATTACATCCTTTACAGGTTATTCGAGCTGGTTCTTTTAGATGTTTATAAACAAAATTTGTATTTTTCACATAAATAAACAACTGTGACAAATCAAATTTGTATTATGTTTTTATTATATTTATATTATGTTTGTATTTAGAGTTCTGGGGTAACACGTAGCACAAACAACAGAGCATATAAGGACGTCATACAACTAATGCATTGTTTGCATTTTGCATTGTTATAACATTGTCTGGATTAATGTAATATCAATGGAAAAGTGTAGAAATATATAGAATCTTTTTTTTTTGTATTTTTTACGTTATAGGACAATAAAATTATGAAAAAAACGTGAAGGATTCGTTTTCAATGGAGCTGAGGACTGAATGGTTCAACAGAGTAATGTGAGCCTCAGCTTTTAAACATGACAGGAAATAACCAGCAACATTCATGATCTATACTTCAGTGACACATTATTAGAAAAGAACTAGTAATTAATTGTCCTATAAGGCAGCGGTCCTCAACCACCAGGCCACGGACCCGTCTGTGAGTCATTTGCTACCAGGCCGCGAGAGTTGAGCCTTGGGTGTGAAATTTATGGTTTTCTAAATTTCTTTTTTTTTTTAAATGATGATGATTGACAAACGGTGATTTGCTTTTATTTTTACACTACTAATATGTTGAAAATATATAAATTTACAGTAATATGGCACACTGTCTTAGAAAACAACAGGAAAAATCTGTAACATTATCTACAATTAATCACCCTACAATTTACATAATAACTCTGTATGAATGACAATATTTGCTGCTTTTTTCATTTGAATTTACAAGTTACAACTGTATGTTAATTACTCGAAACATACCGTGCTTTTAATTTTTACCAAAATAGGATACCGTTTTGTGTTCTACATTTACAGTTTATCTTTCACCGTGAAATTCTGGCAACCACAGCTGCCAGTAATTCTCTGTAAATTCCGGTCTGTGGTGCAAAAAAGCTTGTGTACTATGAGACTTGTAGAAGTCTGTCCAGGCTGTACGCTACGACTGCTAGAATTTCACTCAGAAGAGTGAAGTGTTAGCCACTTTGAGCTCTCCACAAACTGAAGTCAATCTGATGTAATCCCACCTCAGATGGTTAAATGAGGCCCTAAAAAACCCCAAACACACACACACAAATAAAAGCTCCAATGTAATGAAAAAAAGAGGAGTTAATTTATTAATAAAAATCCATTTTGTACATTATGAAAGGACGCACAAATGAATTGCTCCATGATGTGTGAAATAATGTCACACAGAAAAACAATATTTAAGAAGAAACTAAAGCCAGTCACCAACAAACTAAAATAAATGTGTGTTCACATTTTATAATATTCATTTTTTAAAACAGCAAGTGTTGCTGACAAAAGCCTATATTTACTACATGTTTTAGATCTGTTGGCTTTTCACTTCTTATTTAAGGTGTAAAGTGTGTTGCTCTGAAGTAAATTACAGGTTTTAAATAAAACTTGTCAATTAAATGTAAAAACTGTTTAGCAAGTTTTCGAGACAACAGAAGGACCACCTGTGCTGCAGGCCTCGCTAACTATCCACAGAAATACTTGTCAAACATATTTATAATTTAAATGTTATTAATCTTCAGCAGTTAAATGTTGGATCTAAGATGTTCGTCTGCCTCTTTGAACAGTACTAGTAGCAGCGACATCTTTCTCTCAGATGAAAGTTGTGTTAACTGACATCTCTCTGCTTTTTAACTAATGAAATGATTTATGTAAATGCTAGTTTCATCTAATCAGGGCCAGAGCAATACATAAACACATACTGAACATGCTTAAAGGCAACGTGCAAGTAAAAAGGGAATAGAAAAAATGTGTTAAAGGTAACATTAAGCTGTGGAGACCATGACCATGGTCTCCATCTTCTGCCATAAAGTTGAGAGGTTTAACACAGGAGTCTATTTGGAGAAAACCTGAATTAGTCATTAGAGGAGCTGCAGCTTTTGGTACTTGAGTGTTGGCTTAACTTGTCAGCCTTGGATGGTGAATTTTCACTGAGTGTGGTACTGTGCTGTGCTTTTTTGTGTAGATATTATGTAGTACAATTTTATGCTACACACTAACCTCATTTATTTTCCTTTGTATTTTAATGATTTTGGCCACAAATCCTCATTTCTATTTAGCATGAACCATGCAATAATTTCTGCATTTTATGTTTTTGATTTTGTGATTGTATGTAAAATAAAATGAGAAAGATCTTATTGTAAATGATTTTCCGAAATTGAAAAAATGTCAGAGATATCTGAAGACAAACCATGTGATGACTATAAGCAGCAACATCAGCACATGCAGACAGTGAACCACAACTGAAATCACAGACCCCGGGTCTGTGGACAAAACCAGAAATAGAAATCAATCCATATTTAATCAATCTATCATCAATACTCTGCTTTGAAGGAGATGCATTTTGCTCCATATTTTAAAAATTATGCAGATATATTCTAGTAGAGCATGTTTTACAGATCAAATTCAAATACCCTCAGCTTGGGTAGAGGCCCCGGCCTTCTGAGACCCTGAATACGTAGTTTTAGAAACTGAATGGATGAATGTAATCAGTCTGTTTACAGTGCTGCTTATGGAGACTTGATTTACTTTATGCTCTATCTGAAAGAAACGATTTAGCTCCTCCCCCTTTAAGACAGCTTTCCTTTTAAGGAAGTCTTGAACTGTTAGTGGGTGGGGCTTCTGTGCATCAGAGGCGAGACAGATCATGTTTTTCAGATTTCTGTTCCCTTTTGGACTAACTGGGTAAACAAAAGCATGCCTTCTACACTTCCACTCACACTTTACTACATTAGGAATGAAAACTCTGTGACATGCTGCTCCAATATTAGAAAATAAACCCTCCTAAAACAGTTTGTAGAACAGTCTGAGACCTGAACCTTCTCATTATTTAAAATGCTGGCAGTGTTTATTATGAACATGCACCAGTTTAAAAGTAGATTCATACTATTGTTTAAACTTTGGTCATATATCTAATGCAGTATTAGTCTTTAGGCCTCAAAAACAACCAACAGTTGACTCTGTGCCAGCTGATGAGGTTGTGCAGTGAACTGTTGATTTGGTTGGTTACTCCAAAACTAAACGACCAGAATGGTATTCAAGAGCATACATGTTTACATGTATGTGAAAAAAGTCACAAAAACATATAACAGATCCACTTTAGCAGGTAAACCTGATGAAATGTTTGTAATAGAGATTTCTGAGAGCTGAAGACCGGGGCTGTGTTCCAGAAAGCAGCTTCAACAAAGTGTAAGTGTAAATTTAAACTTGAGGAACTCAAAAGATGGTAACTCTGAGTTTCAGTTTTTAGTTCCAGAAAGGATGATCCGAATCCTTTCAGCGAGCTCTGACTGATTACACTAAGCAAAAGGTTTTCATTATATTGGAACTGTTTATTGTTCTTTTTAGCTACTAAAGAATAGTTAAACACCACATGTACTGCTACTATCACTACTACTACTTCTTCTTAACAACATCCACACATTTCTTACCAGGTTCCAATAACATGTTCTTAATGACAGGACATAAGTTTGATCTTTGATAAAATACATTTGTAGTACCCACGACCTGCCTGTTCAAGATGTTTAATGACCACCTTGAGATTTTTATTTTTTTTTCGTGTTACATAGAAAATCAGCCTGTATTTTCTGACACATCCTTCTGTGAGCTTGCTAAGGTTGTTCTGGGGAATAAATGTATCAATATAATCATATTTGTTTATTTGTTTTTGGTTATCTGCAGCTGAATTGAACCCATGATGCTGCATATGCAGCCACTTCAAAGAAGGCCTCATAACCTGCAGAGCAAAGAGAAATGTGATGTAAGGTTATTGAATTTGTGTGTCTGAGAACTTCAGTTGGTTGTAGACGTCCTTCTTATACAGATAGGACTTGTAGAGTTCAGACACTGAAATATAGTAAACATATATATGCATATACAGGATCTTTAGTGATCCTGTCATCAGAGAGACGACGAGTCACAGGAACTTCATCGTGTTGGTTTTGGAAGTCTGCAGTTAGTTTCCTTCGGTCACTTTGTCTCTTCAGTCTGTCGCTCGCCAGTGTTGTTTCGTAAATTTCTCTCAATTGTTCTTAATTTTCTTTTGAACGCAACTCTTTTCTCATCATACTTTGCATCCTCTCATTGTATACATGATGTGGTGTATGAGAGAAGGAAAATGACAGGAAGTCTATGACACACTGGTTATGCAATCTTTTTTCACAACAACCCACTGTGTTGCAGTTTCTTCTGAAAACACTCTAACTGTGCCTGGTTCTTTGCTTTGAGGTTAGATGAACAGAGGGTTAAAGTAGAATGTGGTCCAACTCTGGAAGAAGGCAGTGTTGGAGAGGTAGCTGCAACAACGATGACTTCATTTCAAACTAAAAGATGAACTGCAAATACCTTAAATTATTCCATAATTACACAAGCATGTGATAGAAAATAAAATTAAAAAATTCAAGAGGACAGATACAGAATTTTAAAACAAATGCATTCACTTGTTTAGAACATTTATTCTGAATGCAGCGAGAGATGGTAACAAAAGGCTGCATATGCTGTACATTTTAGAGCAGTCACACACGCGCGCACACACACACACACACACACACACAC